TATGTGTAAAATTGAATGTCTGTAACGCATTAAGTTATTGATTAACGCACTTTTAGTAACATATTTTAATTTGGGTCTTAGTTATAGCAATTTATAAGTTTTCGAATATTGGCCTTTTAGGGGCTTGTCAGTTGTTTGATTAACCATCTACCGAACTTCTTATGGTGCGAAGAAATTCGTGTACCAAGTTTCATCAAGATATCTAAATTTTTACTCATGTTACAGCTTGCATGAACGGAAAGACAGTCAATCGGATTTCAACTCGTCTTTTTATTCCGATTATTAATATATATATATATAACTCTATTCTATGTCGATTCGTTTTTGGTGATACAAATAACCGTTAGGTGAAAAAACTGTTATACTCTGTAGCAACATGTTGCAAGAGTATAAAAATGTTGTGAAAGAATTCATCATTCATTGCTCGACGAAATCGTAAATGGACGATAATCAAATTTGGTATGTAATTAAATTTGTTATGTTATGACTAGCGAAAATCATCCTCAAATAAGAAAAATTTGACAAAAACTCAAAATTTAATATTTTACGGTGATGTTCAACGTCAACCAGAGGACCGGAATTCATTACATTAGGGATATGAGGTTTGGATCAAGTTCAAGTTAAACCAATTCCATTCATATTAAGCGCTAAATCACATTATTTTTAAGAAAACTTGTCCACTTAATTTCACTAAAATATCACACATTTTGACCAACCTGAACGATTTAAAGACAGATTAGAAGTCGAAAATCACTATATAGGGTATATAGGGGACAGAAAAGATCTGGCTTAATTGCAAAAACATTCGACATTATATGACAGGTATACTTGAAAACATAATAATTCGTTGAACAATTTCAAATATTTTCGGCATTAAAGTAGAGTATATCCAATATTATACGTTCAGTTGATTTAGCTAAGATATCTTACATATTGATCAATATATATAGAATAAAGTCAACCGGTCTGAAAATCTCGGCATTTCTACATATATAATTAAAGTACTTCACATACCATCACCAATATATGCGGTATAAAGTCACCTAGATGTTTGAAAATCCTGATATTAGATATATGGCGACCATGACAAGTTTTCATTCCATTTTGGTCACAAATAAAAACGCTCACTACATATGATTAAGATAACTCAAATATTGGCCGATCTTTCAATTAGGTTTACGGAGGCTAAGGGAATTATTGATCCGATTCAACATATTTTTAACATACAGACATACTACTATCTGGAAAAGTAGGAAGGCAACGTTCTGAGAAACGAACACGCAAATCTGACAGCCCGGGTATTGGGCAGAATAAATGCCAAAATTTTGTGAGAAGTGAAAATGCTATGAGATATCCAATGGCTACCGCGCCCACTCCCAACATAACGGTTAAGCTGAAAAGTGCGATAACTGGCTGAATAAACGCATCAGAAGCATTAAATTTCACATCCAGATGTTACAGAAGGGTTTCATGGGAGCGGGTATCAAAATTGGGAAAAGAAATTAAATTAAGAAAACCTAATAACTATTGTTAAGCACGTTATGTTGTAGCGATACATGCCGAGTGGTAGTACGCCACGGTAATCTCCAATTTGTTGATGCTAATTTGTTCAGAGGTTGTATCTTGATATTCTAAAGGCAAACTTAAAGCAAAGTGCTCAAAAATTGGCTTCGAAAATGTGTTTCATGTTCAACAGGATAACGATCCGAAACATACCGAACGTATAATTATATGACTTGCCAAAGCAATTACATACACCTCCACAATCTCTAAATCTCAATTCTATTGAGCACTAATTGGGATAAAAAGGATCCTTTTCGAAGAATGTAATAAAACTTCTTCAGAAGAATCGAAAAGGTATAATCTATGCCAAAGCATTTAGCATAAGTTTTAAAACGTAAAGGATACCCAACAAGTTATTAACCAGTGGTTTCTTTAACGGTTGTTTGGATCACCTAAAAATAATCGAGATAGATATACATATGTATATATAAATGATCAGGATGACGAGATGAGTTGAAATCCGAGTGACTGTCTGACAATCGAAAACATGTAAAGTGCCTATTGAAATTCGGGGAGAATATTTATATGGTGACACATGCCCTTGTGCCAAAAATGGGTCAAATCGAGTCAATACTTCCCTTAGCCCCGATATACATAATATAAAAATTTTCAAATTTCTTGTTGGCTTTATACCGCATTATTCGGTCAATATATAAGAAATCTTAATCAAATTTAGAGAACCCTGTTTCTAATAACAGTGTATCCTCTTGCCTACAATGGATGCAATAAGGCAATACTTCCCTTGGTTCCTCTATACCCAATATACGGATTTGCAAACATCTTCTTGACTTTACACCTTATAGGTATATCTATATATATATATATATAAATTGGTCAATCTGTGAAATTTCTTATCTCTAGTAATGATATGTTCAATTACCGAAACTGGATAAAATTGGGTTAAAAAAATTTCTAGCCCCCCATATATATAAAAAAAAAACAAAATTTCAACTTCCGGTTAGCATTATATCGTATATATCGGTCAATGTCAATTAAATAAAAGTATAATATTGGATACAGCTTGATGCCGAAGATTTGCGTCATCGATCTACGAACCACCCCAAATCCCGTATACCACATAAAAGTACCACATATGAGGTAGCATATACTAAATTTTCTTCGAAAATTTGTATCACCTAAAACTATTCGGGTTAGATATAGGGTTATACAAGTATCATCATATATTATATATAAAAATCTCCTGTCACGGTGTTTGTTGCCTCCGAAACGGCTAGACTGATTTTGATGAAATTTAGTGTGCTTATCGGGTGGGTCTGATAATAGGCCAACATCTATTTTTAATACCCCTAAATGTATAGGGTGGTTCACCCCAAATATTATTATTTTTTTCTTATTTGGACCAAATTTTTTGTTTTTAGTTTTACATAATTCAGCAGTGAAAAATACATAACATTATAAACTTTCAATTATACGATCAACCCCTGATTTTTAATTGCAATTATTATATTATTTCGTTCCATCCACAGATCCGTTGCATCATCTGGCATTCAGCATTTAAGATGTCATTAAACTTTAAAATAACCCAGCTGCAGTGTGCAACATAAAAAAACAATCGCCCATGGCTACAGTGTTGAAACAGCACAAAATTATCACAACTTACATCTATTTTGCCTCTATGGCACAAACATTCGCGTGGGGCATTGGATATTATCATCGTACGTACGTAATGTTGAAAGAGTACAACTGATAGTGAACATGTGCGTTCATATGCTTCAAGATCCATCTGTCGAAAATTTTTCAGAACAACTTAGATATTAGCAATAGAAAAGTTGCTATACATCAATATACTGGATACATAAAATTACCGATTGATTTCTGCGTAATCATCAATTCTCAAAATACTCTCATCGACATTATATAATATTTCCCAGTGTACACACAAAATATAAAAATCGTAATAACAGAAATGGAAATTTTCGGTTGGCTTTATGCCATACATATTGGTCAATTTGTAAGATATCTTAGCCATAAGTAATAAATATTGCTTATTTTTTGTTGTGCTACATTTTTCGAATGACTTCTGTTCGTAGTACCTTTTTATCATCAGGTTAGGCTTGAACTTCATGCGCCAGTTTTATTAATTCGTTTAATATAACATTTAGCATTATTGACTGATATATATAATATGCAATGTAAATTAAAGCGAAGTGACAAACTTTAAATTTTATTATGGAACCAGCTAACCCGACAAACGTTGTTTTGCCATATATGTTATTTTTAAGAAATATTTTTAAAAACAACTATCACAACAAGTGTGTGGTAACCTTCCACAGGGTTAAGTTATGCTTGTGGTAATTTTGTGTATCCAGTATTTTCATACACAGCTGCCTTTTCATTGCAAATATCTAACAATTGTTATGAGAAAGTTTGGCAGGATCTTGAAGGAAGTTGGACGTGGAATAACGGGAAGTGTCTGTCTGAAATCAACTGAAAGTATTGAGTTTGTTGTTGTTTTTATATCTTTCAATATCCTTCCATTGCCCCAAGCGAATGTTACACTTACACTTAGGAGTATAAAAAATAATTGTTGAACAATTCTCAGACCTACACGTTCATCACACCAAATTTCATCAAAATCGGTCCAGCCTTTTCGAAGGAGTTTGCAACAAACACCGTGATACGAGAGTTTTATATTAAATTAGATAATCTGGTGGGATTCAATATGATATTAGAGTGGAGGTAGGCGTGGTTGTGTCCGGTTTTCAAAAGATTTGGGACGGGGAAAATTTTAACATGATCTCAATAATATTAAGATTTTATGTAGATGTATTCCCCTTAAATAATTTATATCCAATTATAAAACAAAAATAATGTATTTTCTTACGGCTATAAAAAAGACTAAGGTAATAAAGCATTATTTTACTATTTTTTCCCAAAACAAAGTCAAGTCAGTATATACAGTCAATCCCGGTTAAGTGCCACAAGCAAAGATGCAGCTTTTTGGTGTTTTTAAGATGGAATGGCACTTAAAAGAATCCCGCTTAAGTACAATATGGTACTACGTTCGGTTTGGTAAAAACATTCATTAAAAATATAAGGATGTAACTTTTTTTATACGGTTTAAATTAATAAAAACAGAAATATGCAGTCCTTTAGCAATATTAAATATTAATTAAAAAGACAAAGGATTAAAAACCAAAATTTAGCATTATACTTAATGCAATATAAAATCATATTTTTTACAAACCAAATTTTGGGTCACGTTTCATGTGTTTGTAGGCGTGAGATGCAGTAAGACACAGGCAGAGGGATTGGCACTTGAGCGGGATTGACTGTAACCAGCAGTGTATGCATAGTTTCCTTGCGAACATATATAATACAAAACCAATTGAAAATGCATAAGAGATTTAAATTTCTGCTTGTTATGGCAAGGGAGCGAAGCCATGAACTTATGTAAAATATTACCAATATATTACCTTCCAATCCATCACAAATCAAGCATTTAAGGCGGGCAGCAGCACAGCATTTAAACCAACTGCAATAATTTGGACATTTCAATCGAATACTCTAAAATAAAATAATAATCAATTAAATAACTGAAATAGATGTAACCCATTATCTACCAATAAAAGGTTGATCCGTCGACGTATCTGCCGCTTATGCACATTAGATTCTGCAATCCTTCGCATTACTTCGCGAACAGTTTTTCGCTTTCTAAGCAAGCTATTGTATAAATATAATATGCGTTGCTTCTCGCATTTACCATAGAAGTAACTGCAAATAATTCGTCTCATGCGCATAAAGTAGTGGCATTTATATATAAGAACAATAATTATAATATTTGTCGCAGCTAACTTCAAATAAAATCTGCAAAATAGGATACATTAAAAATATCGTTTCAAAATTATATTAACCTGACGACCTTTTCGGCAATATGTGGGGATTTGGTAAGCAAGACTCATTAGTAAGATACGTGGAAATTTTTTCGTGAATATTAAAATTTTTTAGAGTTGTACGAAGTATTCTTGCCATAAGTCCCGAGCCTTTGACCTTCGTGTTAGAAATGCAATATTTAAGTTAATATAATTAAAAATTTACTTATCTGCAAATATCTAAATTAACGTAATAGCGATAAAGATTTTTGCAAGCTGTAGTAAAACATACATATTTATTATACCCAGCTTTGACTATGGAATAATTTTTATACACGGTTCACAAAATAATATTTTCATAATAACCAGAACAGATATGCTATATATATTTTTAATAACATAACTAGGTTCGATACCAGCTCCGACCAACCTCATACCGGGTTTCCAATAGCGGTCTCGATAGTTACTGACAAACCTCCAAGTGTATTTCGGTTTTAAAAACATTCAAAAATCCATAAGTCGGTTAAAAGCGGACGCTGAACACTTCCAAGACCATTCACAAATCAAACAAGTAAGGAAGGGCTAACTTCCGGTGTCACCGAACATTTTATACTTGTACTTGCAAGAATTAAAGCCCGGGAAATTCATTAGGTGCTGGCAAGATTTTGTATTAAATAATGTTGCGAAAAATTCAATATTTATTATCGTCAACCAGTGGATCGGAATTCATTATGTTCAGTGGTAAACTACATAATTTTCGAGCATCGAATTTCATTAAAATATCACATTTTGACCAACTTAAACGGTTTAAAATCAGGTGGAAAGACGGTAATCATTATATGGGGTATGTTGGATGCCGCGAAAGGAACTGACTGATTGCATTAATAAATTCGGCATAAAACTTGTTCGAAAAACGAAAAACATTATATGTAGTATATGGGAGTTGAGGGTTGTATTGATCAGATTTTACATATCTATTTTTGCCAACTTACTAATATAATGCTCCCGTCAACTCTCCATAAAACGGTTTTGATTAAAATTACTAGAAGTGCGATAAATCTATGAATAAATGCGTAAGAAACATAAAATCTTACATCCGAGGCTTTATTAGAGCCGCTGTCAAAATTGGACTTTGGGCGTAACACCGCCCACATTAAGTGAAAACCCATATCTCGGGACCTACTGAACCGATTTTAACCAAACTCGGTAGTTAACATTATTCTGTTATTTTTATGTTACAGTGAGAAAAGGGTGAAATTAGACTACAACCACGCCTATTTCCGATATAACCCAATTTTAAATTTTATCTGATCCTTTCACTTTCCAGTCAATAAAGCACAAATAAATATAACGGGATAAAACTTTGGATGAATAATGCCCTCAAAGTATGCCACCTTATGAACAAAAATTGCCCAAATCGAGCCAAAACTTTTCAATTCCACCGGTACCGAATATATGGATTAATAACGAATAGGTCGGTCAGTGCGTGAGTTATTTATTAATAAAATTGCTTTACAATGTTCTTGAGTATGCTTGAGAAATGCCAAAGATTAATGCAACAATCACAGACCTTTCTCTGCCGCCAATATATCTTGTATAGTGATTTCTAGCTGACTTTAAACCGTCAAAATTTCTGATATTTTAAAGAAGTTAAGTCGACAAGTTTTCTAAAAGTTATAAAATTATATTAACTGCTTAGCGCTGAATATGAATGGAGTTGGTCTAGAACATGGTCTAAACCTCATATCCTTGATGCCACGCCCACTAAACGCCATTGAACTAAAACATATAAACAGCCATAACTAAGCACGTAATTAAGGTACAAAACTGTAATTTAAGCGCAGTGGCACGCAGCGTGAATATTTCGCGACAAAAGCGAAGTCAATAGTGATCAGAAGTTCATATCGATACTTTAGTTTTTATGTGTGTCTTTAACATATTTACATATTACATATACTAACGTCGACAACGCCGCTGCTGTTGTTGTGCTGTATTTTTGTGTTCGGCTTTAATTTTTTTTTTACTTTTGTGTTGAAATTGTAATTTCAAATTCTGTTTTCTCCTGAACTGAAAAAACTTCAAATACAGATTTAATGAACCGATTGCTTTTTAGCTCTAATCCTCTTATTAATGGGCAACGAAAACTTGGTTATAACCATAATATGAAAATTATTTGTAAAATTGTTATTCGCTTTCTAATCTAATATATAAAACTCTCGGGTAACGGTGTTTTTTGCCAAACTCCTCCCAAACGGCTAAACCGATTTTGATGAAATTTGGTGTGCTTATCTGGTAGGTCTGAGAATCGGCCAACATCTACTTTTTATACCTCTAAATGTTAGGGGTGGTCCAACCTAAATATTTATATATTTTTTCTTTTTTGGAAGAAATTTTTTGTTTATATTTTACATGATTCAGCATTGAAAAATACTTAGTATTCTAAATTTTCACCCCTATACGATCAACCCCTGATTTTTAATCGCAATTTTTATATTATACCGTTCCATCCACTGATCCACAAAATGGCAATCGAATATAATACCATAATTCAAATGCAACCATTCTAGTCTACTATTGTATAGGATGAAAACACTCTATACAGTGTTCGCCCATTTTTTTTGCTCTAATTTGTGTGTCGATCGTAGCAGTGACTGTTATACGTATCAGTATACCCTTAACAGGGTATATTAAGTTTGCCACGAAGTTTGTAACAGCCAGAAGGAAACGTCGGAGACCCTATAAAATATATACATAAATGATCAGCATGTTGAGTGGTGTTGACTTAGCCATTTCCGTCTGTCTGTCTGTATATACCATATACGAACTAGTCCCTCAGTTTTTAAGCTATCGATCTGAAATTTTGCACCTGTACTTTCCTCACTATGAAGCCTAACATATAACTGCCATACAAACTGAACAATTAGGTTCAAGTGATTGTATGCGAAATTTTTTTATTTGACGAAGTATCTTCACGAAATTTGGCATTGATCATTATTTAAGGGATAAATAGAATCACCTAATAACTTTTTTTATCGGGTCATTATAGTATATAGCTGCAATATTAAATGAACGATCGGAATAAAGTGCTTGCATGGAAAGGCTTTAAATTTGACTAGATATCTTTACGAAATTCGCCATGAGTTATTCCTAAGGGCAATAATGTAATCTCCAAAGAAATAGTTCAGATCAGATCACTATAGCATATAGCTGTCATATAAACTGAACGATCGGAATCAAGTTCTTGTAACGAGCCTTTTGTATTTGTAAAGGGTATTATAGCTGCGGTGCAACCGAAGTTAACAATTTTTCTTGTTTTAATTTTCCATTGCAACTCTCAAGTTAATTTTATTCTCATAGTATTTCTTAGTGCTAAAAATATCAATATCGCAGCCATTGACATTGACAATCGTTGAATGGTACCATATTCGCCTCTGTTGAGTAAAACATTCAATACTTATATAGTTATGTTTATGCCGAGTCGAACTAATGATCCGTTCCCTTTTTGACTGTGTTGCCGTTGACAAATTGATTAAAATAACACCGTTGGAAAGAAGAATACATTTCATCCCTGTTCTTTATAAGATGCAAATACATATGTATTCGTATATTGGATAATTGTGTATCGTTTACGGCGGATTTCTGGTTGTGATTTTTTCCACTTTTAATTAGGTTTGGACTTTGCGTGTTGCAACGCGGAATTCTGTTACAATTACATTTTTAATGCATATTAAATTTTAGGAAGTGTTTGTTAAAAAAAAGCACATTGAAGTGGAAATAACCTTTGATATCATTCGTTATATTTTGGTGAGTTAGACATTTTCAGATTAATTTGTGTGATAGTTAATATTATTCAAAAAAATTTCCAAAGTTCAATTAAATGTAGTTGGTTGAATCGACAATATCAACAACAACCACGAAATAAGGAGTAATTGAATTTTTTTACTTTTAACGAAAATTTAATTCACAACGAAATATTAGTATATTATTGTAGTATTTTATAGGTAAATTTTACGTACACTGTTTGTCACTAATCAATAAATACATGCGCGCGCACTGCTTTATATGAAAGTATGTATATACAAATATACGTATGACATCGCAAATTAGTAATGCATATACAAATTTACATACATATGTATCGATATGCGTACAAATGTACGTATGTTAGCTGTTGGGTCACCGATTGAGAACCAATGCATTATACGGTCATATGCTCTATATATTTTTGCTATTTCTTGCTCTCTACTTATTTGCCTAATATTCAAGGGCAAGCATTAGAAGTCAGTCACCTCAATGCAGTTAATAATTGTATTTGCATTGTGTACATACTTACATATTATATTTATTGCTTTCTTGCGCTTGCTTTGTACACTTATGCTACCGCTATGTTTTCGTCCACGCAATTATATGAATATTTGTTTTGCACATTAGCTAGTCCCATTTAACATGTACTAAGCTTAATATGTAAGCAGCCTCTTACAATGCTGCGTTCCCATTTTTTTATTTCTCTTTTATGTACTTGGATTATTCTATGAACTGTTTTTATATAACTTACATACTTATGTATATATGCACTAATAGAAAACGAAACTATGTACTTAGCGGATTATGTATTGAACGGTATTGCAATATTGCTTAGAATATTATTTAAGGAGAAGAATTATGCGAATAAAGTTAGTCTCATAACTGACCACACATAGCATCATTACTCGGCCCTTTGTATTTTATCGCTGTTACAACTTCGCTTAAAATATTTCGCTTTTTCGATATTCACGCGGCTACAAAAAAAGCTTTGTAGCCCTACATTTTTTGGCGCCCAACGTGGGGCACGAGTGAGTTTTTTGTTATTTCGCAAATCATTTCGGAGTGTGGTCAGTATTAGACTGCATCGTTGGACATTATCGTAGCTGGACATTATCGTCATTGGACATTATCGTCATTGAAAATTACCGACATTGGACTTTGTCATCATTAAACTTAGTCACCGTTAGAAATCTTTACTAAACGCATTAAAAATATCGTCGACGCCAGCTTCCGACCAGGTGGAAAGGCTCTTTCAGCTGCGGAATACAAATGCCGTTTGGGCATCCTGGAGTCTTATTTTAAGCAGATTCTCTCAATTCAAACTGTCATCGACAGATTGGATGCTGATGATGGAGGACGTGCTGACCTGGAAGAACTTTACATCACAACTAAATTGATTATCCAATCGCAACTG